ATACGCCCACAGGCCTTTGAGGCTCTGTTGTTTTTTCCCAATGTTTTCTATTGTTCTGATTGAGAAATTTCTATCGTTTTGTTTTCAAGTTTACTGATTTGTTCCCCTCCATTCTGCTGCTGAGCCTATCCATTGATATTTTTACTTAATTTATTTTACTTCATGTATGTTTAAGTCCTAAAATTTCCACTTGGTTCTTCTTTACATCTTCTGTTTCTTTGCTGAGACTTTCTATTTTTGTTTGTTTCAAGCTAGTTCATAATTATTGTTTGAAGCATGTTTAAATGATGGCTGCTTTGAAATCCTTTTCAGATAATTCTGAATCTCTGCCACTTGGGTGTCTGTGTCTTTTGGGTTACCTTTTCTCAGTTGAGGTTTCGTAACTCTTGGTATGATGAGTGATTTTGGAATAAGACCTAGACATCTGAGTCTCAGGTTATGAGACTCTGGCTTTCATTTAATTCCTGTCCCAGCAGGCCTCCTCTGATATCCAGTGGGGGAAGCAGGGTGCTATCTCATCACCACCAAGTGGGAGTGGAAGCCCAGGCTTCCCGAGTGGGAAGGGCTCTTCCTCACTGTTGGGTGGCAGTAGGAGTCCCGGCTCCCCAGTAGGTCTGCTGTCACCTGGGGGCAGGAAAGCCTCGTTCCTGCTGGGCATTCCCCACGTGGTCTCCCTTGATACCAGCAGGAGAGGCCTTGTTACTGTCCAGCATCAATGAAAGTCCCAGTTCCTCACCCCATCACTCCAGTGGGGCACTTAATTATGGCCTGATGTATGTGGAAGTTTAAGTTTTCCCCTTGGTCTTTGCAAGCAGGGGTGGGACAGTATGTTTTGTGAAGTTCGGCTGCCATAGAGTGGTTATCGTTTACATTTCTCCTGTTTTGCGAGGCTGCCCCGTCCTGACCCTTCACCTGATGTAGTGAGTTGGGTGCACACCCCCAAAGGCATGCCCATGTCCTAGTTCCCAGAACCTGTGAACATTACCTTATACGGCAAAATATGTGATTCAGTTAAGGACTTTGAGAGGAGGAACTCACCCTAGGTTATCTGGATTGGCTCTAAATCTAATGACAAGTGTCCTTGTAAGAGATGCACAGGGGAGATTTGACGGATAGAAGAGAGGGCAATATGATCACATTGGCAGAAACTGAATAGATGTAGCCACAAGCCAAGGACCACCTGGAGCCGCCAGAAGCCGGAAAAGGAAAGGAACGTATCTCCCCTACAACTTCTGGAGGGAGCACAGTCCTGCCAGCATCCTGATTTCAGAGTTCTGGCCTCCAGAACTGTGAGAGAACACGTATCTGTTGTTTTAAGCCACCCAGTTTGTGGCAACTTGTTATAGTTTGGTACTGGAAAGTGAGGTGCTACAGTTAAAAAACTAAAACTGTGGAAATGGCTTTCAAATTATATAATGGTTAGATGCTAGAAGAATTCTGAGATGTATGAGAGGAAAAGCCTAGGTTGCCTTAAACAGACTACTGGTATAAATAAGTGTTAAAGAAATTGATGATGAGGGCTCAGAAAGTGAGAAGCATGGTAGAAAAAGTTTCTAATGTCTCAGAAGATACATACATCGTCACGAACAGAATGTCGGTAGATGTGAATGTTACTTGGCTCTGCCATTGTGTTCCACCATTATGTGGACAGCGGAACTTATAAGCAATGAACTTGAGTATTTTATTGCAGAGGTTTCCAAGCAAAGTGTTGAAGGTGCAGTGTGATTTCTCCTTGCTACTTACAGTAAAATGCAAGACAAAAGAAATAAATTGAAGAAAGAACTGTTAAGAAGAAAAGCAGCAGCATTTGATGATTTAGGAGATTCTCCATCTATCCATATTGCAAAGGATGCTAAAATTAAAAAACTCACTGTTGGAGAGAAGTCCAAGGGTGCAGCTGGACAACCTTTTGCTGAAGAGATTATTTGTGTGACTCACAGGCCCACTCACTCATCTCAGCAGAAGCCAGGAATAGAAGTGGAGTTATCCAAGAAAGACTTGTGGATCTTTTGTTAACGGTGTGGACTCCCATGACATACACAGGAGACCCACAAGATTATTAAGAATGTTATATCAGCAGAAACAAGCTTGGTCTGAAGAGGACAGAGAGAGGATGGCATGAGTCTACTGGACTTCTAAAACTCAAGAGCCAGGAAATGGTTGACAGAGTTACTTGGTTGTAAACATGTGCTAGCTGTCAAGACAAAGGAGGAATGACTCTGAGGTCAGAGCCATGGGTGCAAAGGAAGAGACTGGAAGAGCG